AGAAGTATTGATTTTTATCAATGAGAATTATAAGTGGCTGAATTATCCAGTGACAGATGATTTAGATTTTTGGCTCTAATTAGTTTGTATTTAAAATTTGGTCACTTAATTTTGACATTCTTATTTGTAGTGCACAGTTTGTGTGTCTCTGTAGTTTGGACATCTGAAAATGGAATTGTGTGATTCCAGACCTGTCACTCACTCAGCAGGATGTTCTTGAAGTCATGTGTGTTGTAGTGTGTGTGTGTGTGTGTGTCCATATATCATATATTCCATCCTAGGACAGACCACATCTTATTCATCCATCAACTGGCTGGTGGATAATTTGGATTGTTGCTTCCTCTGGTTACCACGAGTCCCATCAATCTGAAGATGCAGGTGCAGATTGTGCATAGACCTGTTTTTATTTTCCTGGGGTACGTGCTGTGTCATCACTAGATCACATGACATCACATTTAACCATTTCAGAATTTGCCCGACTGCTTTCCAAACAGCTGTGCCGTTTAAATCCCAGCCAGCAACATTTGAGTGTCTCCCCTTGTTATTGTTTTTCTTGTTTATTACACCCACTGCAGGGGGTGCAAAGGTTTCTGATCTTCATTAGCATTTCCCCAGTGGACTAATGATGTTGAGCATTTTTTTCAGGAGCCTATTGCCATTTGGATACTTACTTTAGCAAAAATGACTATTTGCTCATGTTAAAATTAGGTTATTCTTTTTAATTCAGTTGTAAGGGTTCTTTATATATTTGAGACATGTATCACTTATCAGGCATATGATTTACCAAAACCAAGCTCTAGGTTATTTTTTTTTTCTGTTTTAAGTGGTCTCTGAAGCACAAGAAGATTTTAGTTGTGATGCCATCTGATGAATCATGTTTTCTTTTGTTGTGCATGCTTTTAGTGTTACACCAAATAATTTACTGAAATAAGCTCACAAGGAGTAACTCCCTGGCTTAGGCAGGGTTTCTATGGCTGCAATAAAACACCATGAGCAAAAAAAAGCAAATTGGGAAGGAAAGCGTTTATTTGGCTTACACTTCCATATCACTGTTCATCATTAAAGGAAGTCAGGACAAGAACTCAAGTAGAGCAGGAGCCTGATTTCTTAAAGAACCCACGATCACCAGCCCAGGGATGGCACCACCCACAATGGACTGGTCTCCCCCATCAATCACTAACTAAGAAAATGACTTACAGGCCTGCCTAAAGCCTGACCTTATGAAGGCATTTTCTCAACTGAGTTCCCTCTTCTCGGATGACTTTAGTTTGTATCGAGTTGACAGAAAACTAGTCAGTATACTCCCACTTTTCTTCTAAGAGTTTTACAGTTGAAGCAACTTTTACACTTGGGCTTGTATCCAGTTTGAAGGAGTCTGGGCATACGGTATGAGGCAACGGTTCGGTTTCATCACATCATCTGCTATTTAGACTGTTCTTTGTCTCTCGTTGTTTAGGCATGGAGAGTTCTTAGCCCCAGTAATGACATTCTCCTGGTTCCTTTTATATTTCTTCTTCTTCTTCTTCTTCTTCTTCTTCTTCTTCTTCTTCTTCTTCTTCTTCTTCTTCTTCTTCTTCTTCTTCTTCTTCTTCTTCTATGATGTTTACTGTTCTGAAAGTTCATTATCCACTGCTGTAGCAGAAGTCCCTAGACTGAACAGGGATTTGTTTCTTCCATCTTTAGTGGTTGGGAAATCTAGCATCAAGGCAATGGCCTCTGATGAAAGCTCTCCACTCTGTTACTTCATTGCAGAAGGTGGAAGGGCAAGAGAGCATATGAGAGTACAAGGGGCCTAACTCACTCTTCCCACTCCCATAGTAACACCATGTTATTGATCCACTTAGGAGGGTACAACCCTTATTCCCAATTTCCTCTTACTAAGCTTTAGCTCCCAAACACAGTTACACTGGATATAATATTTCCAGCCTATAAACTTTGGGGGACACTCCTTATCCATTCAAAGTTTAAATAAAGCTGATTCCATGTGCCAATCAAATTCTACAGGGTCCATGTCCTGCTAGAGCAGAACAGCAAAAGTAGGTTTGCATCAGTTTGGTTTTCTGTAGTTACTCAATAACACACACCATCCTAATCTAAAGACAAGTTAAGGGAAGCATTTTCCCTGAGGTCCTCAGTGGCAGTCACTGGGAAAGTGATAAACATTTATTGCCTTAGAGCATGAGTTAGCTGGGAAAGGGAAGGGAAATCCAGGGGATAATAACATAAAGATGACTAGGAGTAGGCACAGTTGAGGTCCCCAGTCTACTAATTTAGAAGCCAGATAGGGAAAGAAATAAAGGTGTCCTTAGGTTGACATTTAAGACTCTCTATTCTGTTATGATGGATTCTCAACGAGAAGCTTTGCTTTAGACAAATTTGTTTGTTGCCCAGATACTCTGTTCTATCACTTTAACCATCTCATTCTCTAGACAACCTTTTTTGAGTATTTATTATAGAGTTAGCATCTTACCTGGCAGCAGGTCTCTCATTCATTTCTATAGACTTAAGCCTTACTCAAGCTCTTGCTCAAAAATGTTGGCCATCCCTCAATATGGACTCTTCCCTTCTCTCAAAGTCTGTATGTACTTGTTCCTTTTTTATCTGGCTGGAATGGGGTGTCAGCCATTACCAGCTAGCTTTCCCCTCGAGTGCCTTCGTAGCCTAGCACTCTGGCCCAGACCCTAACATGTATTTAATGTATATTTTCTGCATAATGATAAAAAAAATGATCCGTAGGGCAGCTATCCTTAAATAATCCGCTTCCTTCCATCAGCAGACAAGGTGGCCAGGGGACCTGAAAGTTTTTAAATGACTTGCTGACGTCTGGCTTCAACTGCAGATTCTGTAACAAGGTCATGTTGCTAGAAGCAGAGTTCCCTGCCAGGGGCTGGCAGGATGCATGTCTCACACAATGGAAGGTGAGAAGTTCCCTGAGCTCTGAAACCACGCAGGGGCAGACTCCTGCAATTCTCATCCTCCACGTCAGTTCTGAACCCTAAAAATGGATGGCTTTCTAGCAATCATGAAGGAACAGATTTTTCAGAAATGAGGGAAGTTAGGATACTCCTACCAATATGGATTCTGTGATGGGAACGTGTGGGAAAGAGCCAGAGGGGAGGCCCCAGGCTGCATCTTGCAGTCCAGTCTGTATGAGAAACTGTTTTCATTTCCTCTGTGAGTGGCCTAGGCTGTCAACTTGGCTAATACACTCCTATCAGATGGCTCTATAGAAAACAGGTAAGGCCGGAACTCCCTTTATAAAGTTATTATCAGTTAATAATACGCAGAAGCGAACCTCACTGAAGGGCTCATAGAATTACAAAGGAGTTTGCTCATAAATCAAACAGGTCATTTTGCTAAGCATGGGTTTATAAAAACCTCATGCAAAGTGTTAGTCAGAAACTACTGGCCCCTCCCCCATGTGTTTGCTTACTTTTCAAGCTGGTTCCCCCCCCCCCCCTGTTCTTAGTCGCTTATATTGTTGCAGACTCATTTATATCCATCAAGAGGAAGCCTGCTTTTCCCCGAGGCTCGTGGAGCCTAAGAGGAGTGAAAATGGCCAGTGATGACAGTCTTGATAAGGATGCAGTCGTTTTTCTTTCTTTCAACAGACTCTAGTTTTAAATTATGGCCATCACTGGCACGGACATCATTTACGTTTGAGTCTTGCTCTAACCTGAGAGATTCCCAGAACACTGGAAATACGTTTTCTTTGTTTTGGTCCCAGCCTCTGAATATGAGACAAGCGGAGTGAGTTCCTCATAAATATGTATTGACCGCCTGGGTATCAATGTGAGGTAGAGCTCTGATTAGCCAGTGCGACCTGCGGGAAGCAGAGGAAATACCACAGATGGAGAGAAGATGCTGTTAGCAGATTTTATTGATCTTTTTCCTTATGCTCGAGTTGCAATCACCTCTCTCAAGTTAAACCTCTCCCTGTTTCTCTCTCCCAGATCTGAATGGAACACAAATGAAAGGCCTTGGTTTGAAACCCCTTCTACTGGGTGTCCAGAAGAACAATACATGAAGAGGGACTAAGCCCGTTGCTTGTACCTGGTTATTCCTTCCTTCCCAGCTCAGGAGCTTGCTAGACACAGAACCGCCCTCATCCGATCGCAGGAACAGATTAAAAATACTGCATTTGTTTTGACTTGTTAGAGTGGATTTTACTACAGAAAATAAAAAGTACTGAGGTCGTGCTGTTCTCTAGGATATTAGGAATTAACATCTTTATGGGTTTTATACTAACGCCCCACTAAGCTTTGAGGATAAGCTACTGCCTCGAACTTTCTGGTGCAGAAACCACAAACTGAATTGCTTGGTTAACCACGTGGCCAACAGTTGGTTTGGTTGCAATTTCAGAGCCTTAACAGGTTGTAGAGGATGAACCGGTGGGAAGTACGGGCTCACAGCCACGCTGGTTGCGAGGTTATAAGCCTCCCAGACAAGAAAAGGAGCGGCTTTCACAGCTTCAGTGAGGTCTCACAGCCTGCTACTAGCGAGGGTTCAAGTGCAGCTCAGGCCAGGAGTCAGCCTGAGAGTTTAATCTAGGCTAGGATTCCACCCAGACGGCGAACGCAGGATCCCCCACACCAGCAGAGACGTCACCCTGACTATCTCAGATCCCCAGTCTCAGCCAGCCTACATCGAACCCAACACCGGGGCGCTAAGGACGGGCGGTTCCATCGCGTTGCAGAGCCAGAAGGTGGCTGGAGGGGATACCAGGGCTTCCAGAAACAGGAGCAGCTCTTTCTCTCTTTTATGAGGACTTGGGACATTAGTCCTGGCCTCGAGGAAGGCCGAGGTGGGCTCAGAGACCGAGAATACTAGATTCGACGTCCCCTCCCCGCGGATGGTACGGCCCGAACTGGGCGGGACCCGGAGGCCCCGGTGCGCCTGTCCCAGTCCCACTCCAGGGTTGCAGCGAGTGAGCGCGCGCACCCCAGACCCCGCCCCCGGCGCCTGGCCCCGGCTCCGCCCCTCGAGCCCGCCCCTCCGCCGCTGCGGGAGACCTAGGCGGCTCTGCGGTCGCAGCTCCCTCGTCGCCTTCCTCCTCCTCCTCCTCCTCCTCCTTCTCCCGCGGCTCGAGTGCCCAGGCGGCTCCTGGTGGCGACGCTGCCCTGGGTGGGAGGCGCGGCCCCGCGCGCGGCAGCTGAGCCCTCGGCGCGGCGCAGCCAGCTCTCCCGCCCGCCAGGCGCCGTGACAGGTGCAGGGTCCCCGCCCGGGACCCACCTGCAGGGGCTGCCGCGATGCCCACCATGCGGAGAACCGTGTCGGAGATCCGCTCTCGGGCGGAAGGTGAGTGGCCGCCGCAGCAGGAGGCTGTGTGCCCAGTGTGCGTGGGGGCAGCTGCGAACAGCCTGGGGTCCGATGTGCGTGCGTGCGTGTGTGTGTGTGTGTGTGTGCATGTGTGTGTGTGTGTGTGTCTAGGAAGAGACATCTCGTCCCATCTCTTCCCCCCCTCCCAGTAGTCTCCTTGTCGCCCCTGATCCCCAGTGGACCCTTCCGCCAGCTCTGCCTTCAAGTGCACTAGCGAACGCTTTCCAGGATCCAAAACCTACGAATTTGTGCGCTGGCTGGCGGGAGCCCCAAAGCTGCCTTTACACCGCAACGCGACTGTTCCTTGCCTCCTAGCGCACTCGCCCGGCTCCCCGCCTCTCCCTCCCGCCCCCCCC